TTAATCCTACCATTTTTTTTGTTTTTTTAGTTAAGAAAATTTAAAGCCATAGAAGTAAAGTAATCTCCCTGATGTCACAGAGAAAATTAACAAAAAGGCCAGGACTATGATGCAGATGTCTAGGCTCTTAGTTTCAGGGCCAGCCCCTAACATCCCACCAGACTATTATTTAAAATAAATATATCCAGTGAGTTTCTAGAGTATAAATACTGTATGCGAGTTTCTGGAGAACTCAGTGGAACTCTACTTTCAGTTGACTCAATTTCTTGTCCCAGGAATCCTAGCTTGTATTTAAAAATGATTCTGCTATTCCTTAGAAAGACCCACTGATCTGTCTTGTTAAAATACACTTTTATGATGTCTGCTCTTTGGTCACTCTGGGTGAAATGGGAAAGACAAAATAATCTGACAGAAAACAGAAAAAGCGAAACAAATCCAGTCGCTTATATGGCTCTAAGAATGGCTTGATGGGACTTGAAATAAAGTAAAAGGCTGGAGGAAGGAAAACTATATAAAGATGGCTTTGAAATCTAACTGGAGGAGGAGAGTTTGCAACAGATTCTCAAAGGAGGGAAAAGATGACGTATGATGAAAAGTAAACAAAAATGTACAAAGAAGAGGAACAGCCTGTGTAAACACGTAATAGATAGAAGTATATGACACTATTTGGGAAAGTTAGGGCATCCAATCACCAGCTATTGGTTCTCCTAGTTGGGGTAGAGGCTAAGATATAACGCTTGCAGGGAAATTTTTGATACAGGATATTAAAGTTGGAAAAGATCTTCAATACCCTTTAGCCTAAACTCCTCATTATATAGATGAGGAAACTAAGATCAAAAAAGTGAAAGAGCTTTCCCAAGATCAAATGACAATTGACTGGCAACCAAGAATAGAAGCCACATCTTCTCTCTCCTCAGTCTGGGGCATCTTGCTCTACATTAGACATTTTCAAGTAGTACAGTGGATCCATAATGTTTATGATAATTATGATGTTTTAAAATCACTTTATTACACTATGATGTTTTCCAAAGTTAATGTCTCTACTAAGAGATGAGAACAGTTGGCTAGTGAGAGATTTTAATTTTAGTACTTGATGAAGCCTTTAATTCTTTTTTTGTGTGTGTGTGTGTGTGTGAGGAAGATCAGCCCTGAGCTAACATCCATGCTAATCCTCCTCTTTTTGCTGAGGAAGACCGGCTCTGAGCTAACATCTATTGCCAATCCTCCTCCTTTTCGTTCTCCAAAGCCCCAGTAGATAGTTGTATGTCACAGTTACACATCCTTCTAGTTGCTGTATGTGGGACGCAGCCTGAGCATGGCTGGAGAAGCAGTGTGTCGGTGCGCGCCCGGGATCTGAACCCCGGGCTGCCAGTAGCAGAGTGTGCGCACTTAACCGCTAAGCCACAGGGCCAGCCCAAAGCCTTTAATTCTTTATGGAGAAGTGAGTATACATTTTAAGAAGCTATTGATGGTCAATGGTTTGTTCCAAATTGAGATAAGATTGATTGAAACCTTTATAGGTTGAACACTGAATAGCAAAATAGAATAAATAAAACCAATGCCTGCTATTCATCTATCTCTTGAAGAATTTCTCTTATGTACCACCACCGCCACCCCAACAAACAAACAAAACAAGCAAACAAAAATCCTGTGCACTGTGCTTCTGCCAGGCCAGTTACAGTTGACCTTACCAATAAAGATGGAATGCATCTCTTGTATCTATTTTACCATCTAGGAATACAGCTAAAATTTTATTTCTAGGAAGATCCTTCAAAATACTGTGTCTGTATTCCTCCTTTCTTAGATACAACCCAAATGGGGACTGTGATTTACTTGAAGTCACACTACTAGGTAATGGTCAAGGCATTACCTTCACATTTCTCTTTCTGAGGTTCTGACATTTGTTTTTGTAACATCACATTTCATCTCATAGGCATTGTTCCTGCTATCCAACAAACTTAGGCCTCAGAAGTATCCATGTTATTTACAATTACAGCTCATTTTTAAAGGGAAAGAAAGAGGATGGAAGGGGAACTAAGATAGAAAAAGCCTCCCACTGTTTTCCTTGGGGCCACAATTTATCAACACTCCCAAACCATTAAGGCTCTGTAGTCTGGAGTCTCTGATTTCCCTGGGACACTCTATAAATATTTTGTCCTTTCTAAAATGTGGTTTAAGAACTACTTTCCTAGCTCTTTGCTTGATGAAGTGGTCCTCAATGTAGCAACCCCTCCCACTCTATTTCACTCTATTTGAAGTCCTAACATAGTACACATGGGTGCTGATTCTCCCCATGACCCCCCACTACCACCACAAATTCCCATCTCTTTCTACTAAATGGTGGGATTTTCTGACACCCATTCTATTTCTCCCTCAGGATCAGGTGGACACCATCACAGACCTGGCGGCATATTTTGAAGAAACAGGGCATCCCGATGCTGGGGACCTACGGGGCAGGCAGGAGTCCCTGGTGTCCCAGTTTGAAGCCCTGAAAGAGACGCTGGCCACCCGGAAGAAGAAGCTCATCGACTTTTTCCTCCTGCATCAGATCTACAGAGACACAGAAGACGAGGAGGCCTGGATCCAAGAGACTGAACCCTCAGCCGCTTCCACCTACCTTGGTTAGTACAGCCTGAGCAAGCTGAGCCATAAGAGAAGACCAAGGTCTGCAGGTTGTTTGAGAGACCTGCGATACGGCAGTGAGGGGGTACAAAGTTTGCTCTCAGCTCTTTCGCCTCAGACTCACAAAAAATGTTCCAGTCTTCCATAGACTTTTAAAAAATTCATACTGAAAAGTTTACCTCTGAAAACCAGACATAAATAGTGCCGTGAATGTAAGGCCTCTGGGAAGAGCTAGGGTGCTCAGCTTTTTGCTACTGGCTCTAATTTTTTTGTTGCCAAGGTCCTTGGCTGAGCAATCATGGTTAGTGTTTGGGATACCAAGTGTTTTTGTCTATACTGCCAATGACTCTCTTTTATAACTGTATGAGCTATTACAAGGATAGAAGGGTTGAAGCAGTACATATTTTTCTCTCATTTGGAAGCTATCAGTTGACCACGGTCAGTGCCAGGACACTTGCATTGAAATACAAAAAAAAAGTGTGCATAAATATCGTGCAAACTTAATATACCTATATTGGGAACATCAATGAGGGGCTGAACAATGATAACAATGGAGAGCCTAGTCTGGGAAAATTTCCTAGAAGAGAAAAGATCTTTTTGAATGGTGGACAGGAATAGAGAGTTTCTGGAGAGGCATGTCGTGTGAAGTATAGGGAGGGAAATTCTAGAGGTAAGAGAGGGGAAGCATCTATGGGAGACAGAAAGGATGAAGTAGACAGCTGGAACTGGGGATCTTAGAAGATGAAGGAAATTAACAATACATAGTACTTATTATGTGCTTGTTAATGTTAAGCAATGACTGAGGCACTTTTTAAAGTTATTTCTAATCCTAACAAAGAAAACTTCAAAACAGGTAACATTGTGCCATTTTCATGGTGAAAAAACCTAGGTTTAGAGAATTTAATAATTTTCTGACAGCTATGGAAATTAGTAAGTGGAAGATTCTGCTTTTAATACCACAATACGTTGAAAGAAAATTGGTTACATAGTATTGGAAATTTGAGCTGAAGACTTATTTGCCTTTCTACCTATTTTCCAAAGAGAGTAGTCATTTATTCATTATCTTTTGTGGAATAATGAATGAAATTTTCTTAGTACAAAGAAGCTAGGGGGAAGAACAAAGCTGAGCAGAGTTAATTCAGACAAATGGTATAAATTTCAGGTGGCCCATTCAATGATTAGAACTTCAAAGGGAAGAACTCATAGGTCCAAGAGTTATAAAGAAGGAGAGTAGCCTCTTCTTATTCCGTACACTAGAACAATACCAGAGCTTGAAGTTTTTTTTCTCTGTAGGCAAGGATCTGATTTCTTCCAAGAATCTTCTGAACAGACACCAAGTCATCCAGGCTGACATTGCCAGCCATGAGCCACACATCCAAGCAATAACAGAGAGAGGAAACAAAATGGTAGAGGAAGGTATGTATGATTGAGATTGGGTTTCCCAATCATCATTATGCCAAACTTATAGGAAGAAGCTTGTTCAATTTTAGGGCTTCAAGGGAATTTAAAGATATCTGATCCACCTTTCCATACAATGCAGAATTCGCCTTGGGCATTTCTGACAGATATCCGATGTTGCTTGTATATTCTAATAATAGGAACCTCCCTACCTCATGAGCCAGTCATTTCTATTTTTCTGTAAAGCCAAAATTATTTAAATAAAATATTTTTACTCTAACAATCAATATGCTCTTCTATAGAAGTTACAGAATTTAAGTTACAAAGCCCCATAAAATAAATCAGGTCCTTTTCTCACATGGGAACTTCCAGATCTGTGAAGATATGTGTTAGATTCCCAATGTCTTATAGTTTTTATGATAAATAGCAACATTTCCTTAAATTTCTTACTTTATACAGTCTCAATATCTCTCCTCTTCCTGATTTCCTATCTTCAGAAATCCTTACTGCTTAAATATGATGTTCAGAACCTACCATCATATGCCAGATATGGTACAAGCAATGCAGATTACATTGGGATTTTTCCTCTATTAATTCAGGAATAAATTGCTACCATCCAGTACCCAGCTATCAAAAGTATAGTTTAAAATTCATCTTGCTGAGCAAAAATTCAGATCTCAAGAGTGTTTCAAATCTAAAAATGTTTATTTGGGGTTCCTGTTTACTATAGTAAGTCATCTTATTTTTTTTCGCTTTTCCCTCGAAATCTCCAAAAGTAATTGTGGATTTTATCTATTTCTCCTTTCTATTCCATCAGTTTTTGTTTCGCGTATTTTGAAGCTGTTATTGTATGCGTAGATATTTAAGCTTGTTGTGTCTTCTTGATGAATTTAAATCTTTAACATTATGATATAGCCCTCTTTATCCCTGATGATATCCTAAAGGCTACTTACTGCGACTTTAATATAGCCACTCAGCTGCCTTTGATTCATGTTTGCACAGTATACATTTCTCCATCCTTTTGCTTTTGCTTTGTTTCTTTATATTGAAAGCAGATTTCTTATAGACAACATATAGTTAGGCTTTGCTTTTATTTTATGCACTCTGGTAATTTCTCGCTTTTAGTGAAGTGTTTAGACCATATACATTGAATGCCATTTGCAACAACATGGATGGACCTTGAGGGTATTATGCTAAGTAAAATAAGTTAGATGGAGAAAGCCAAATATCATATGATTTCACTGTTACGTGGAAGATAAAAACAACAAAAACAAACACATAGATATAGAGATTAGATTGGTGGTTACCAGAAGGGGGTGGGGGAGGCGAGGAGGGTGAAAGGTGTAAAAGGGCACATGCGTATTGTAATGGATGATAATTAGTCTTTGGGTGGTTAACATGATGGAGTCTACACAGAAATTGAAATATAATGATGTAAATTTATTTATAATAAATAATAAATAATAATGTACTGAAATTTATATAATGTTATAAACCATTGTTACCTCAATTTTAAAACAAAACAGTTATCAATATAGTTAAGTTTAAATCTAGCATCTTGCTGTTTTGTTTTCACCTTGTCCATAAGTTTCTACTTTCTTTGGATTAATTGTGTATTTATTTTGATTCCATTTTATCTCCATATTTGTTTCTTAGCTATAGCTGTGTGGGTGTGTTTATTCCAGGATACTGATTCTCTAGTTGTGGTTTTGTGGTTTTCATAATGATGCATTTCCACACTCGTTATTTGCTGTTATTTGCATTTCCACACTCGTTATTTCATAAGTGTACAGTGAAATTTTCTGGAATCTACATGATGTGTGATAATGCCTTTTCTTCAATGGTTAATGGAATATATACTTGTGTACTCTTTTTTTTTTTCTTTTTCCTGAGGAAGATTCGCCCTAAGCTGACAACTTTTGCCAATTTTCCTCTTTTTTTGCTTTAAGAAGATTAGCCCTGAGCTAACATCTGTGCCAGTCTACCTGTATTTTGTGTGTAGTTTGCCACCACAGCATGGCTGACAAGAGGTGTAGGTTTGTGCCTGGGATCTGAACCTGTGAACCCAGGCTGCCAAAGTGGAATACATTGAAGTTTAACCACTATGCCACTGGGCTGGTCCCTACTTGTGTATTATTTTGTTTTAAACTTTCCTTTTTTGATTTCTGATATGGCAACCATTAATAGATATCGCCATAAAAGCAAAAGCTTTTAGGGGTCCTCAATACTTTATAAAATTAAAAAGGGATTCCAGGAGCAAAAATTTAAGAGCCACTGTTCTAGGATATAAAGTATAGATCTTTAACTTATCACAGTCTTTCATATAGTATCTCACCCTTTCACTTGTAGAATAAGATCCTTAAACAATATGTTTCATTTCTCCCCTTTCATCCTTTGTATATTGATGTCACACATTTTAATTTTACATATGTAATAAACCCCACCATGCATTGTTATTAATTTTGCTTTAATAATAGATTAGCTTTGAAAGAGATTAAGAAATGAGAAAAAAAGCCTTTCTATATTTACTCACATATTTGCGTTCTTCATTCCTTTGTCTATGTTGATATTTTTACCTGTATAATTTTCCTTCTACGTGAAGAACTTCGTCTAACATTTCTTGTAGTACAGGTCTGCTAGCCATAAATTCTCTAGGCTTTTGTTGGTCTAAAAGACTTCATTTTTGGAACACATTTTCACTAGATCTGAAATTCTTGGTTGACAGTGTCTTTCTTTCAGTACTTGAAAGATGGTGCCGCACTGTCTTCTGACTTGCAGAGTTTCTGATGAGAGATATGCTATCATTACTATCTTTGCTCCTGCATATGTAGTGTGTCTTTTTTTTTTCCCCTCTGACTCTTTTAAGCTTTTTATCACTGGTTTCCAGCAATTTGATTATGATATAACTTGGTGTGTTTTTTTTTTGTTTCTTCAGCTTGGGCAATCATTGAGCTTCTTAAATGCACTTTCTTATGGTATTTCCAGGGCAGCCTTTATTCTGGAACTAATTTAGAGATTAATCTACTACTAAGGTACAACCCTTCTGAAGACTCTACCTCACGTGTTATATCTTTCCACTTTGGTGGGTGCTAATTTTAATTATTCACAGCCCTGTGTAAGCCTTAGGAATTTTTTGGCCTGCTGCTTTCCAGTCATCCTTTCTTCAAGAAGTTTCCTTACACATGTGTGCAAAGGAGCCATCAGTTAAATACTCTAGGGGACCTTTCTGCATTATCTTCAAAGCTCCATCTCTGTGCAGCACCTTCTCTTCAGGACTCTGTTCTACAAGCTCTAGCTGTCTTGTCTTCTTCCAACTCTGATCTCTGTCTCCTCAACCCAGTGTGACTGCTAGTCCTGTTTGAGTTAGCCTTTCCAGCACTACAGCCTAGAACCTGCCCCAGGCATAAGCTGCAGCAATCATAGGGCGTATCTCATATTTTCCCTTCTCTCAGGAGTCACAGTCCTCTGCCTATTGTCTGAAAATCATTGTATCTTACAGTCTGTTCTGTTTTGTAATTGTTTAGACTGGGAGAACAATTCCTGTAGTAATAAATCCTTTATGGGTAGAAATGGAAATCTGCTGAATTTTCTGTTTAGTCTAGAGAATACGTGTTTTTGGAACTCTGAGTGGTGCCTACACATAGGTATTCTATTTTCAAGTCTGTATATCATAGACTATGCCACCCCATTCACCACCACACATACACATCTATCCTCCATTCATGCCTATTTATGCTTATTCTCACTTTCAACATTCTAATTTCCAGGAATTTGGGTAAAAATGTCACATTGACCACATGCAGCATCATTCCCATGTCTTGCTTTCTCTCTCCCAGGTCAACAAAAGGATTGAAGTATAGTGGACATTAATGAGGGTAACACTCACCTTTTCTCTAACTACTCCATAGGACACTTTGCTGCAGAAGATGTGGCCTCAAAGGTTAAGAGTTTGAATGAGAATATGGAGTCTCTCCAGGCTCGAGCTGCTAGACGGCAGAATGATCTTGAGGCCAATGTCCAGTTTCAGCAGTACCTGGCTGACCTGCATGAAGCAGAAGCATGGATTAGAGAGAAGGAGCCTATTGTAGACAACACTAACTATGGAGCTGATGAAGAAGCAGCTGGGGTAAGATGGGCGTGGGAATGGACATGTCTAATACTCACCAAATGGTACCAAATTAGACTGTGGGACAGCTACAGATTCTGTTAGATTATTTGGGGTTTCCACAGTGATAACCTTTGGCCTTCATTTGCTGGGATAACCTCAGAGTTGATGGAAATCCCAAAAGATACACTACATTTTCCTAATCCCACAGAAATCCAGATTCCTTAGAGATTATCTAAACACAAAAAGGCATGACTAGAGATCCATGCCTGTCTCGGTCCCATCCTAAACTTCCCAGACTAACCTTGGGATTCCACAAACCAACCATGGTTTTAAGATATCAGCACTTTAATTACTCCATTGAAATGAAATCAGGCAGACAAGTTGGGGCAAGAAGAACCTCGAAGGTCATAGCTACCC